GTGTAGATCAGCACCAACTTTCTGGTGAACATTTTGTTGCTAACATTTAAAATGTTCATGGCTTTTTGGTCCAGCATTCCAACCTCTTAGGACTTATCCTATAGAAACACTTCACTATGCAAAGAGGTATGTTTAAGAAGCACTAAAGAATCATTGGAAATTACAAACAAATCTATTGGCCATCCAGAACAAATGTTTAAACCAGCTGTAGCTCACTTGTACAATGGAGGACATGTCACCACCACAAAGAAGAGGGATCTGTAAGTACTGGAAAGAGAGCATCTCCAAGGGATTTGCCCAAGAAAAAATACCTGGGACACTATGGTAAAAATCCCATTTTTGTTTTTGAAAGCAGTCATATTTGTTATATTCACTTGGAAAAAGGGCAAAAGGAAAGAAAGCTCTGGAGGGATATACACCAAACTGTCAGTGGTGGTCTTGGGGCAGGGGCGGAGGTGAGGTTGCGGGAATTTTCCTTTGTTACATATACATTAAATTTGTTATAATTCATGTAACATATGTAATCAGAAAACTCACACACACACACATACAAGCACTCAGGGCATCCATATCAGAGGGCTCCCACTCCCCAGGGCTCTCAGAGGCAGAGGCTGGCACGGGGTATTGCTAGCATCCTCAGGATGTGTCAGCAGAGATGAATGACTTCTTTGCTGAACCCAATGCCAGGGCTCATGTGTATATATGAGCCCCTGAGTGTGCTTCCCAAACTGGGCTCTCGTTGAAAGCCTCTTGCTTCTATACTCATTTTGGGGGGAGAGGCTCCGTGGTATTCAACACATATTCAGAAAGGTCTAGTTGGGACCCAGGAGACGTGGGGCCAAATCCCACAAAAGGGGGATAACAACAGCTCGCCTTCCTGTTTCATGATGTGAGAATCAGACAAGCTGATTGATTAAAAAAAACGACTTTCCAAACTAAAGGAAGCACAGAGCAACTGATCACTCTATTCTATGCCCCATGGGGACTGCAGAGGGCCACCTGGGGGCAGGGCACAATCCCTGAGCCCTCCTGGTGGCACGGAGCTACTAAGAAGGAAGTACAACACAGTATAAAGAACTGTGGGGAGGGGTGCTAGTAGATGACACTTCAAATTAAGTGGGCACAGCCCCCTCCAGGGCTGATGGTGAGGGCCTGCATTTCCTCTTCACTTGCCAGCATGTGCAGGCGGGCGTGCTGAGCACCCTGACCCAGCCAGCAGGGGAGAGTGCCGCAGCCAATGTTCTCAGAAGACAACTTCCCAACCCCCAAGCAGTCACTCAGTTCCAAGCAGAGTGGTGCATGGAAGTCAGAGGTGCCTCTCACTGCAGTGAGGCTGCTGCATGTGACTGCAGAATGTCTGTGGCTGCAGAACTTGCTGGAGGACACAGCCGGGCCCTCAGAGGTCAGGCCTGCTGAACAGAGGAGCAGGGGGAGAAGAGCCCCTGTGGTCATGGAATAGTGGCCACCGCTTCCAGCCCGCCCTGCACTCAGCTCCTGTTTCTGACTCTCCCCCTTCCACGGCAATGCTGGCTGAAATTTTGGATTTCTGTGCAAAAAGACTGCAGAAGTCCATCTGGATTCTGCAGGTCAGATGAATTATTCCCCAACTCGTCCCTACCCATTGATCGACTTTCAGATGTCTTCGCCATCCCGCCACTGCAGCGAACTGCTGGGGAGAGTCAGGTGGCAGGCAAAGCTCCATTCACTCGCCTCTCCCAAAGGGATAGAGCAGAGGGGTGGACTGAGGACAGATAACACATTTGCTTTTCTCTTTCTTCTGGGCCAGTGAAGAGAAACTGCTGCTGCCAGAGAAGAGGGAGCAGTGAAAAGGTTCCCTGCTTCATTTTGATTATGACAAAAACTGTGGCTGGGTATGCAACTCTTTGTGGATATGTGTTTCCCATCTTACAATAACTTATCATCTTGGCCTCAAAGCACTTTCCAGAAACAAGCTGAAGGGGCTTCAGGTACAAATAGGTCTCTGGCTGCCCCAGGCTCAGAGTGGTCAACAAGGCTAGATGTGATGGGCGTATCACCTCCCTCCTGTGATCCGCTCCACTTTCCTTTCACTCACTCTGCTCCAGCCACACTGGCCTCCAGACACACTCTGACCTCTGGGGCTTTCACATCCATCTGTTCCCTCTGCCTGGAATGCTCTTTTCCCAGGTATCTTCATCCTCACTCCTTCACCTCTTTATGATCTTTGCCCAATCCCGAATTCTCAGTGAGGGCTTTTCTGGACAACCTATAGCTCCCATCTCCATATGCTCTTCAACCCCCTTCCCGACTTTATTTTTCTCAGTAGCATTTAACACCACTTGACATTCCATCTATTGTATTATTTATTTATTATCTGCCTCCTTCCACTACAAAGTAAGCTTCCCCGAGGATAAGGGTTTTGTCTGTTTTGTTCACTGCTATGTTTGCAGTGCGCCTGGTACAGCATCTGGAACATAGTAGGTGCTCAGCAAATTGTTGTCATTGTTGTTGTGATTTGCCTTCCTACCCTCCAGTCCCTGGCACCTCATGGATGGGTAGACAGGGCCACAGGGAAGTAAAGGAATGAGAAGAAGGGTGACGAAAGGAGAAGAATATTAGGAAATATGAAAAAGTTATATGTGTGGAGAGATGATAAGGAACCAAGTATAAGGTAAGAGATTTCTGATTAAATAACAGAGGACTTATAGAAGGTCAAGTTTGTGCTAGGAAGGAAGTACAACACAGCAGAAAGGGAAACTCTCCAGAATCTTCAGAAAATATAACCTGAACAAGCAGTCAATACTTGGGCACAATTCCCGGGGTTCGGCTACAGCCACAGCTTTGGGCCTCCTGCCGCAACGCTATCCTCTGTAGGCCAGGGGAGCTGTGGACAGCAGGCCTGGAAAGAGGAGCAAGAAACCAGGAAGAGAAAGAAAGGAGGAGAGAAGACCAAGTAAAAGACCAGGTGGGTAATCTGGGAGAGTATGGGTGACAGACCACTGGGCAATGGAGGAGACTGAAGGTGAGAGGCCAGGAGAACTTCAACAAGAGAGATGAAGGGAGGAGACAGGCAGGGGCAGGAAGAAGGGAGCCTCAGAAGAAGAAGAGATGGGCAGAGGTGGGAGGCAAGCATGAGTATGTTGTTACTATACAGAGTCAGATATCTCACAGGCCTGTGCAGGGAAGTGTCACTATTGCTCCTGCATGGGCCCCTGTGTCACTTTTTTTTTTTTTTTACTTTTGTGTTTTTACTATTCTAAAGTTCTCAGTTCTCATGCTGTTTCCAAGAGATGGATGAAATCTTATATATGTAAACTTGGAAGAACTATTTAATAATTTGGAAACTTTTAATATTTTGGTCATGTTTAGGAGGGTTATATTAAGGTATCTTCCCCTTGAATTCAGTAATAGTAAAAAAAAGTCACGCTGAAATTGAATCCACCAAAATCAATAAAGAACATATGCTTTTTGCTACTTGCCAAATTAAGTCAAATTAAGAGGCAATTTATGGCACTGGCCAGGTAGCTCAGTTGGTTAGAGCATTGTCCTGATACACCAAAGTTGTGGGTTCAATCCCTGGTCAGGGTACATACTAGTATAAGAATCAACCCATGAATGCATAAATAAATAGAACAACAAATCGGTCTCTCTCTCTCTCTCTCTCTCTCTCTCTCTCTCTCTTTCTCTCTCTCTCTCTCTTCCCCTCCCCTTCTCTAAAATTAATCAATAAAAATTTTTTGCTAAGAGTCAATATGTCCAGCCAGCATGGCTCAGTGGTTGAGCATTGACCTATGAATCAGGAGGTCACAGTTCTATTCCTGGTCAGGGCACAGGCCTGGTTTGCGGGCTCGATCCCTGGTGTGGGGCATGCAGGAGGCAGCCCATCAATGATTCTCTCTCATCATTGATGTTTCGCTCTATCTCTTTCCCTTCCTCTCTGAAATCAATTAAAAAATGCTTTTTAAAGAGGCAATTTATAATAGAGATGCAGGGACTAGAATGCTTCATGAGGCATTTTCTAGGAGACTAGTAGGCTCTTAGACTAGGGAATTTCTCAGTCTAAGCAAGGTGATCAATTAGGATATGTCTTTAGAACTGGAATACATTTAATGCAAATAAAGTTGTAAGTTATATCAATCATATAATATTCAATCTTATTATGCAAAGTGAGTTGTATGGAGTCTAGTTAAAGGAAGGTCAAGAAATGATACTTTTTTTGTGCACATCTAGCTGGTCCAAAGGAAATTCTTCTCTAATTTGAAAGCCCAATCCTGATTTTCAAGATAGCCTTGATCTGGAGAATCAAAATTAACCCAGCTAGCCTAGTTGCATGGAAATATTCCTTCAGCCTGGCCCATGTAGCTCAGTGGTTGAGTATCGACCTATGAACCAGGACGTCAAGGTTCGATTCCCAGTCACGGCACATGACCAGTTTGCACACTCGAGTGCCAGTAGGGGGCATGCAGGAGGCAGCCGATCAATGATTGTCTCTCATCACTGATATTTCTATTTCTCTCTCCCTCTCCCTTCCTCTCTGAAATCAATCAAAATATATATAATTTAAAAAAGAAATATCCCTTCAAAACATCTTATTGCCTTTGTTCTAATTCTTTGCTCACTAAGGTAATTTGTGATCCCAAACTGATTATAAGTTGACCTCTTAAAAGGAATGCCCACCACAAAGGTTCTAAGCTAAGAACCATGTCTGTAGTCTGGCCAGAGAGAAATATCCTATTGTTAACTGGCACACAGACATGCCTGTATATAGATCCTTCAGTCACCTGAGCATTTTGGAAAATTGTGTTCTGGTTCCCCTGGCCTCACCCCAGAGAGCAGGGATACAATCCTGTGATAAAATTCTGTACCCAGCCCTGCAAATCCAAGGACTGATCAAAGAGCTCCAGGTTAGCCCTTGTCAGGTATTGACCACAGGGAGGGCTTATTGGAAACAGCCAGTTTCTCCTTTTTGTCTCTTCTTAGCCGCAGCCAAAATTCAGTGGCCAAATAGCTAAATAAAAAGGACTGCACAGTGCTACATCTGAAATGATTTCAATACACCTGGCATCAGGTCATCAATATGCAGTGCACTTTCCAGGACGCATTTCGTACTAACCCACCGTCTAAGCATTTGCCTTTCTAAAGGAGCAGAGGACTGAATGCAGGATATAATTCCCTCACCTGAGATGTTTGTGATTCCCTTCTCCTAAATTCAGGGCAACTCTATGCAAACTAGCAGAGGGAGTGACAGAAAATGGCCTGGGAGGACAGGCACAGGGTTTACCCTCCTTCTCTGGAAGATGCAACCAGCCTGATTCTCTGTTTTGGAGATCAAATCCTCGACAGCATAGCTTTCCATCTCGATTGCAGAGGACCAGAGTCAGACTTGTTTCTCTTTCCAGCCAGGGTAATTTTATTCCATTCTGCATGTTTCCATAACAATTTCCTTCCCCTCCCTACCTCCAACTGCATTCTGAAATGCCTCTTGACCAGAGACACAAAGCCACCTCCAGGGTCAGCCATATTGCCAGCATCGAAGAGGCAGTGGGCCACCTGCTGAAGGTGTGGGCACTGCTCTGGCTACTTGGTTCTCTGTCTCCTTGAGGGCCTTTGAGCCAGCCAGGTCTACGGCAGGACCACAATCTTTTTCTCCAGCTTCTGTGGTGGAAACAGGAAGTTTCTCATTATTTCATCCAGCTCTTCCAAAGCCAGCTGGGCATGGAGCCTGGCCACGTCATCAGGCTCCGAACGCACGACATGCTTCAGCAGGTGGTAGAGATCCTTGAGAACGTCCCTCAGCACCTGTACGAGAGAGAGTCATGTCTGTGTCTCCTGTGTCAACATTTCCAAGAATGACCAAATTGCCTTCTCTTGCCTGGCCAGAGTGGCTCAGTGGTTAAGGGTTGACCTATGGACCAGGAGGTCACGGTTCGATTCCCAGTTAGGGCACATACTTGGGTTGCAGGTATGTATTTTGCTTAGAAGAAATAGGGCCTATAATCTTAATCACTATGCTATGCTGTGTTCTTTCTATTTATTAATAATGCTACCTACATGCATCAGGTTGGGTTCACCTCACTATATGCAAACATTTATGACAATAATTGGTTCAAATGAACTTAACATTTTTTTCTCAAACAACTGGAACTTCAAGAGTTGACTGTACATCGAAGTCTGTGCCAATATATAATTTCTGAAAAAGGAGTATGATCAACCCTGGCTGGTGTGGCTCAGTTGGCTGGGCAACATTCTGTGCACTAAAGGGTCGCTGGTTCGATTCCCTGTCAGGGCACATGTCCTGCGTTGCAGGCTCGATCTCCAGTAGAGGCATGCAGGAGGCAGCCAATCAAAGTTATGCTCTCACACCAATGTTTCTCTCTCTCTTAAAATCAATTTTAAAAAAGTAATAAGCCGAACCGGTTTGGCTCAGTGGATAGAGCGTCAGCCTGCGGACTCAAGGGTCCCAGGTTTGATTCCGGTCAAGGGCATGTACCTGGGTTGCGGGCACATTCCCAGTGGGGGGCGTGCAGGAGGCAGCTGATTGATCTCTCTCATCGATGTTTCTAACTCTCTGTCCCTCTCCCTTCTTCTCTGTAAAAAATCAATAAAATGTATTTTTTAAAAAGTAATAAATATGTATAATAGCCATATTATATAAACATGGAGTATTCCTGCAAAAATACATTTAAAAACTATTGTCTCCAGAGAGGGAAACTGGGGAGAGATGGGGGGAATTATATACTCTTTTGTACCTTTTCAATGTTTAATTTTATGAATATTTTATCTATTAAAAAATAAATAAGCTTTTTAATTGAACTGAATCAATTCTTAGATAACACTTTTCCTAAGGCCATTTCATAGGTAAAACAGATAAGGAATCTGCCCTTAAAGGGCTCACAGATGAGACATGCATATAACTAAAGACGGTACAGAACAGAACATGGTAAGTGTCCTAAAAAAGAGCAGGGAGTGAGAGGTTAGAGAAAAGAGAGGTCACATTTGAAGAACAGGAAGTAAACTAGAGATGGTGCACAGAAATGAAGGGAAATGATTAATTCGGTGGGTAACGAGTACACGGTCTGGGCCCAAGGACTCCTGCGCATTCCACACAAGTATTCTAGAGAACAGAGAAAGGGCCCTTTCCACCTTCTGTATTCTTGATCAGCATGGGTACTAGGGTGCAGAAGGAAGAAGGCAGAGAGAGAGGGTTATACAAATCAAGCCCCCAGGCCACAGGGCTGGTCTCCCTCCTGTCCCCTGTGCTCCAGTTGTGCAGGCCCCCTTTCTTTCCTTGTCTGAGCAAAGATCCTCCCCTGCGTATGCTGTTCCCTCAGCCAGGAAGACTATTTCACTTCTCTTCACCTTAGAACTCCTCCTTATTCTTCGCCTACAATACCACTTCCTCAGGGATGCCTTCCCTGAACACCCACTGTAAAACACCCACTGTAAGCCTTCCTACCCTATCTGTAGTTTTGTTTGTGCCTCTATCACAATCATGATTTAAATCTGTGTTGCGTAATTTAAAAAGTTTTCCTCACTGGTCACAGTTACTACTGACGCTGAGGCCATGCCATGTCTTGTGTTGTCCACCTGCTGTCATCTCAATGCCTCATACAGTAATTGGCACATGGCAGATACCTAAGGCATATTTATGAATGAAAGAAGGCATGGGCACGCTACTCTCAGCCAGTCTCTCACGTGGTAAACACTAAAAATGTTAAGGACATCTGTTGAAACAATGCTAGACAACCTGAGTCAACTTCATGGGTGTCCTAGTATGATCTGTGCAGTCACACTGGGACCCTCAATCAGAGGGCCCCAGGCTTGCTTTAATAATCTGCTGTTGTCACCTTAAAATTCTTAATAATCTTATCTTTGAACTTGTGTGTTTATGTGAAGTCTAATGGGACAAAGGAACACGAGTGTGAGCAGAGCAGATATGCCCAATACGCATGTCCACCATTCTTTGCCAGTGCATTTGAATATAGCATTTGCCGTGCTCCGTGAGCACAGAATTCTGAAGGATCCACAATGTGTGGAGTTGAGCAATGTTCAAAGCCAGTAACGGGGAGTATGTTTGTTACGTTTACAGCTGAGTGAATGGAGGCACTGACAGCCCGGAGAGGCCTCATTCTCCATTAGAACCAGAACTTGCTTCAAACACAGAAAAAAGGAATGGCTTTCTAAGAAGCATGGGCCAGAAAGGAACTCTATGTATCCTCCATTTTGCCTCCCTGTTTTAGCCAACCATTTACACCGAAAATGGTGACATGGAAGAAAATAGGACAACCCACAGTCTTATTCCTTCCAGTCCATTCTCTCATCAGTAAATCGAAGGTAAAGAGTGTGGCAGAACATGCATGGATCAAGAAGTGAAATAAAACAGTTGAGTGTTTTGTGTGGCGTTCCCACTGTTCTGCTCAGAAGGAAATACATATGCATGTAAAAGCTACAGAATATAAATTGTGTAATTTCGGTGATTTTACATCTGAATTAAATATTCTTATATTTGCAGTTTAAATTGGCATTGCACAATATAAAGATGAACAGTAAAATTCATGCTAATAATTTACATTTTCTTTACTTAGAATAAAATTAGTAGCAAATAATAAACACCACAACAAATCGAGAGAGAGAGATCATGGCAGGAAAAAAACTCCATATTTTAAAAATATGCGGGCAAAAAAGGGACAACATACTAAACCTGACAAACTCAGGGGATGCCCACATGACGAGCCTTACAAACCCAGAGACCAAAGTAACAACACAGCATATTCTGAACATAAGAATTCCTAACTAAAAGTGGGTCACGGCGGGTTGTCATGTCCTAGGCCTGTAGCCTCCTTGACAATGGTCAATCTTTAACTTTGAAATTGTCTACTGTCTTTGGGCATCTAAGATAACATACCTTTGAAATGTCAGAGTAATCTTCTTTTCTAGACTCCTTGAAGGTACAACCTGGGTACCGGAGCCCACACTGTTATCTTTTTGACCACATACCATCTCTATGTGCTGTAAATGTTAACTATTAACTACCATGTACCCACCTGTATAAAAGACTGACGTGTCTCTCCATTTCCCTTTTTTTATTCAGTCCTCAGAGATGTCCGCACCTCCCTAATCTACCACCAATGGATTTCATGCAACCCTCTTACATCTCCTTCTTTGACTCTAATGTATAAAATGAGCTGCAAAACTACCATTCTCCAGAGCATTTTCTTAATCCATTGAGATATTGCTTCCCAGCAATTGTCAGTTTGGCTCAAAAAAAAAAATTGTGTAAGACTTTTTCCTAGGCTGGATGTTCTTTTGTTGATGCCATTAGTAACACTTTTTTTCTTTTCTTCCTTTCTTTTTTATTTTTATTTTTTAACAAGGGACCCTGCATTTTCTCTGTGCTCTGGGCCCCACATATTATGCAGTCAGCCTTGAAGACAACTCTCTGAGCTCCTTGCCCAATGATACCACATTAAGTGGTGGGCAAAACCTCACAAATATGCTGCCCATCCATGTTGTGCACTTGCTTCCTGGATTTTCTCAAAAAACTATCGAGACACAATAGGGGTTAGGTCTGCTCGTGGAGGCATCTGACTCTAACTGGGGCACTATCCCAGCTGCCCTTTCTTTCCTCAGGGCTGGCAGTGTGAAAACGGGTGATGAATCCGGAAAGAGGATGACTCCCCATAGCTATGCCTCATGCCTCACGATTACTCATTCAATAATCATTATAAAGGGCCTACTTCATGCCCAGGCAGTAGGCTGGTGATAAAAAGATGAATAATGCACAAACCCTACCCTCTGGCAGCTATAGCCTAGCGGGGAGGCAGACTCATACGCCAGACAGCATGATCCTCACTACAGGAGATAAATATTGGTAAATACCCGATTCTGTGGAAGCAAAGGAAGTGATTTCTTTGCAGTGGAGGTGGGTGGGGAAAGAATAACTCCCTACCATGCAAAAGGGCCATCACTGACTTTTATTTGTAGCCAATTGAGTGGCACCAAGGAGTGGCTTGGGAAGCTTCAAGGAGTCTCCTCACCTCTAAGCCACCTAAAATAAATGCAGATTATGAACAAACCAGGCATCCTTGTTATGTAAATACATCTTAAAGACAAGTCTCCTAACACACTCTCCAATGGATTACATAGAAATTCTAGAGCTCCTACAGTTTATTACAAGGGCATCTGTTTTTTCTTAAGAATATATATATATATATATTTTTGCTAGAGCCTCCTAACATTCAGAGCAAGGTTAGCTTTTACTTGTTAAAAAGCAAGTTCTAAGGCACTCTGTTCTTTTCTGGTGTGGGGAGGAACAGTCCCCTCAGCACCGCTGTGTCCTTAAAATCACAATAATGCTTGTGCAAACACCACTTCATACTGGAGGGGTGCTGAGCTCCTAGTTATCAGTTACCGGATCTCCTTTTGCAGGTAACTTGAGTGTTAGGCATAGGCTCCTTCTTAATTAATGGGTCTACCTTAGCAACCCACCCTGGTACGCTTCTGCCCAATCCCTGTAACCCTGGGGAGCCCACACATCACAGGACTTCCTCTGGACTCCCCAGGGATCAAAGCTTCCTGCCAGCCAGGGATTGTCACCAAATCCGGTGGATCAGGGGCTGAATACAAGGAGAGTTCAAAGGTAAAGTTACTCACAGGAGCTTCTGTGGTGGGCAGGATATAGGCAATCCCACAGAAGAAACCTCTCATTAAGAGTTCAACACACCTGCTCTTCATCCCCCCATGCATCAGGCCCAAGGACTCCGGGGAAAGATGGAGGGGATACAAATAAGAGTGGGGGT